CTCCTTCACTGGCCTTAGGCCTTTGCTCCCAGAGCCCTCAGCATGACCCCCACCACTGCAGCCTCCTCTCACTGGACCGTCGTCAGCTTTCCACAAGACCTTCGTCTAGTAATCCAAGAGTCCTCACTGGAAAGGCTGCTTATGACCATCAAGTACTTAGGATGCAGAAGGTTGTGGCCCAGGGACACTGTGGACTGACAGTGACTAGGCTCTCGGGTGACTCCACTTGAGTGATTCCTGCTTGTTACCAGCCACCGTTCACCTGGACAGCCAGTTCCTGGTCAGGCCCTGAGAAGGCTGGAGGAGCCACCTGCTAACATCTAAAGATAGTTTATTCACTTCCAAGGCCCACTGTCAGGTAAGTTGGGGAGCTGGATTCCATGGTACCAGTCAAGGACTCAGGACACCCTGTGCACCCAGCAAAGTGTTGACTAACTACAAATTTAGTCTAGAATGAAAATGCTTTGAAGATATAATCACGTTAAGATAGCAGGATATCGTGTAACCTTGTAACCTTTGAGGGGGAATCTGATGTAAACTGTAATAAATAACAGCATGAATAATGCTTACTGTAAGAATATAAAAGTAACAAAGAGAAAGAGGGGACAGGACAGTTCTGTGAGGACACACCCTCATTCTTCTCTAGAACTGTTGGTTTTTCTGTAAATAAAAGTGAAAAAGTTGATCTCTCATCTGCTTCTCCATTATTGGCTTGGGTGACAGGTGGATGGACTTCCTGGTCCAGCATCACGCTGAGAGACTGCAGTCTGTGTAGTGAGCAGCAGGGGGCACTGTGGGTCTTACCCAGGACAGCACGGGGCGGGGTGGGGTCGGGGGTGGGGAGAGTGATCACAGCTGCCAACGCCCAAACTGCCAGGGCGGGGCAGTGGAGCCTGACACAAACTCTGCAGCTGTGTCCTCTCTGGGTGAGGTCCCAGCACCTGCCTCCTCCCAGGTCCTGCCTGCCAGACTCCCCCCGGCCCACCAGCCCCCAGGTCCTTAACAAATGCATGGGGCTGGGAGGGGCAGCCAGTGGTTCGGATACATTTGCATCCATAACCCCTCCCCTGTGAGCCCAGTGGAGAGATAAGAGAGGCCTTGGATCCCACTCCTGCTCTGGACTTTAGAAGGACAGTGTCCACCATGGCCTGGGCCCCTCTCCTCCTGCTCATCTGCTCCCTCTCAGGTAACGACAGGCCTTCCATGTCCTGGGGAAGGCCCCAGCCAGAGTCAGGCAACTCTGTCTCAGATCCTCCAGTAGCTTGAATTTTGCCCCTGGTTCCTCACCCATGAACGTCTGTGTTTGCAGGTTCCCTCTCCCAGCCTGTGCTGACTCAGCCGCCCTCCCTCTCTGCCTCTCCTGGAGCATCAGCCAGACTCACCTGCACCCTGAGCAGTGGCTTCCCCATAGGTGACTTCCACATACACTAGTTCCAGAAGAAGCCAGGAAGCCCTCCCCGGTATCTCCTGAGATACTACTCAGACTCAGATAAGTATCAGGACTCCAAGGTCCCCAGCTGCTTCTCTGGATCCAAAGATGCCTCAGCCAATGCAGGGATCCGCATCTCTGGGCTGCAGGCTGGGGATGAGGCTGACTATTACTGTGGTACGTGGCACGATGACTCTAATGCTTACACAGTGCTCCACACCGAGGGAGAATTGAGACAAAAAAACCTCCCCTGCTTTCTCCCTGCCAGGCACAGTCACCCCTGTCCTTCCTGGGGCCACATCTAGATCATCAGGTCACTTCTAGTGTCATTTCTTCAGTCGCCAACCAATTCTCCTGGGGCTGGTGGGTGTGAATATGTCTTTCCTTTTTCTTCACTTTTGACATGAATTTGATTCATAGCTAATATATTCTCACCCTCATCATGTCCACAGATATTCTGGGAATAATGATTAGAGAGCCTCTTTCATCTCTTTTCCCTACTCTGAGGACTCAGCCTACCCCCAGGGAGATTATGGATGAGGAAGGAGGTGGGGACCCCTCCGTGCTCAGCCCAGGGCATAGGACTGACTAAGAAACACGTGTGGGCTGAGACCTCTGGCTGGTCACTGGATCCAGCTCCTCAAGCCCAGCTTCACTGACCAGCTCCTAGAGGGAGATCAACTTCCCCAACTACTGCTCATTCCCTCCTGTCCCTGCCAGCTTTCCCTCCCTCCTGAGACTCAGGGAAGCAGCTCTATGTTGCTACAGGGACATGGGGCAAACAGCCTTCTCCACAATGAGACATGACTGTGTCTGTGGCCTCTCAGTGTGCACAGGACACCCAGCATAGGTCTCCCTACTCCCTGTAATAACCCTCCCCTTCCTGCATCCCAAGGTCACCTTCTGCTCATGCTGAGGCTTCGTGAGGCTGCAGACACCCAGGAATGAGGGCTGTCCTGAAGTGAATTAAATATACCCATAGGGTATTTTCAGGGTAATCAGAAATTTATAGGGGAGCTGCTTCCTGATTCTTGGGTTTCAGGGATCTGGCTCTGAGGCCACCCTTCCCTGACCTGGCCTCCCCTCCTCATTCTCCTTTCTGCACAGGGGACAGCAGACTCAAGGGTTTGGCAATGGCTCAGCAAGAGCCCTTCATGCCTGGAACAATGTGGGGTCTTGTACCAGCTTCCAAGGCGGACTCAAGTCAGAGAGTCCACTGGTGACTCCCACATTCCTCCCAGGTTTCCTGGCCTGAGCTCGCCTGGGCTGCCTCTGCTCCTCCCAGTGTCTTTGTCCATTTGAGATGCTGCAATAAAGTACTATCAGCTTGGTAGCTTATAAAGCATGTACATTATTTCTCAAAATTTTGGAGCGTGGGTAGTCCAAGACCAGATATTTTGCAGATTTGGTGTTTTGTGAGGGCCTGATCTCTGTTTCACAAATGGCACCTTCTCACTATGTCCATAAGGGACCAATGAGCTCCTTGCTCATCTATTATAAAAATGCCAATTCCATCCATGATGTCTCAGCCTCCCAAAGGGTTCTGACTCCTCATAACACCACCTTGGGGGTTACAAATTTTGAAAGACACTACCATTGAGATCACAGCAACCAATGGCCTCAACCTCCCGGGGTGGTCCAGGTGCAGTGAGCACCAATCCCAGTCTTGGCATCACATCTCCCTAAGCACTTATTCCTTCCATCACTCCTGCTTGCATGGAATCCCACCCACTTAATTTAATAAATAAAATTTTGAAAGGGGCATATTTTCCCTGGAACACAACCCAAGTCCACCCACCACCCTGGCCCAACCCACCGCTACTTCTCACAAGGCACAAGAGAGGTACCAGAGCCACAGACCTTGCTGAGGCCATTGTTGGAAATGCCCCCAGTGAACCTGATTAGTGCTGACACCATAGGAAATTGTGCCATTTGCATTAGTAGGCAGTGCCAGATGAGGACATTCGCCCCTCCTGAATATGAAATTTGGGGAGCACGGAGCAGCTGAGCTCTCCTCAATGAGAGACATCACTTGGCCCTGGTGGAAAGCGTGCTTGGTTGGGATTGTCACTGACCATGTGGCAATTTGCTTATCAGTTATTTTGGTGTCACACAAGTCCTAAGCCCTCAGATATGCTGGGAATAATAATTAGAGAGCCTCTTTCATCTCTTTTATCCTCCCCTGAATGCTCTTTCCTCATAGCAGGCTGGTCCTTCGCACTCAAAGCCTGTCATCATCCAGTGTCCTGCTCCAGAGGATTGTTGTGGGACCTGTGATCTGAGAGACCAAAATAGATGTCCATTCATCAACTAAGACAGATCCTAAGTTAAGGAAACACAAATGACTTATTGGTGGAGGGCTCAGGACTTGGCTGGTGTGGCAACTTCCTCGATTCCTAGGGCTACAAGAAAGAACAACACTCTTGCTGAGCCCCCATCTATAGGAGCTGTCAGGCAAGTTATCAGACCCCAGGTAACTCTAATTTACAA